CAAAATGCTGATTTATAACAGACAACTGCGGTAACTTCGGGCCCCCGGTTTGAGTCCCAGTTCTGGGCCCATGAACAAACTGAAAACACCTAACAAACCAACCAGTCAAACACAGAGGAATGAAAACAACAACCTTGTGGGAACAAAAACAGCCCACAACGATGTGGCGCTGAACAAAGGAAAACCTGGAGGATATATGCTGAGGGAGGTGATAACAAAGGAGGGCCAGGATCAGAAAGGGAAATCTTGGCGTGAAACAATAGCAGAAGCAAACTCAGCAGGATACATACGTGTGGAAGCTCAACCAAGTAAAACAGGACCCAAGGAAACTGAGACCAAAACTGATTTATGAAGATAATGGCTAACAGAAAGGAATGACAATACAAAAACTGTCTAAATGTATCCGATTGGTTCACACTTCACACAAAAGCTTGGTTCCCTTTTCTTATTAGGGGACAAGCAACCAGCTCACTGTCCCGTTTTTAGCTGGATTTTGACACTTTTGGGGAGCCTCTATTTTGGGAGGATCTATTCACTAAAGCTAAATGGAACTTTGTGGATGTCTCGTCTGGAACCTCACACCTTCTTTTTGGACCCACAGTTAGCAGAGCAAAGATGAATTAGTCAGGCAAGGGAAGACAACTATGATAAACCAGACAAACACAAGTAATGATCAAAATTACACTCCCAAAAAAATACAATACGAGATCAAACAAAAAATTTAAAAAAGGAAAAAAAAAAGAAGATTTCAGCAGAGGCTCAGATTACGATCTAATATGTAAAACTGTCTGCGAACATTGTTAGGGAGGCATAGAGATGATGTAGACGTAGATGAGACCAGTTAAGAAGCAGTTCCTTAAGCTAGTAGCCGGTCATCCATGCCGGCTACTAGCATGGTTGCTCCATAGCAGTTCAGAGGGGGGACAACACAGCGCCCCCCCACACCCCCTCACACAGCTCTTCATCACTTTGATTATACGTATCAAATCAAATTTAATCAACCAGTCTGTTTAGATCTTGGAATGAAAGGATAGGGCCTTTCAAGGGTCAAGGCCACAAAGAAAAAAAGTTCTGGAGGTAAAAGAAACGGAAAAGGGGAGCGCTGTCATTTAGCTTTTTAACTAAATACACACAACTGTAGGCAGGTACAAGGACAATATTTCAAAAAGCCGACATACGTTTAATAGAAAGAGCAAAGTCTTTTTTCATTACAAGCATGTGCTGGTATGGAATAAGAAGAGGGAATGTCTCAGAGCTATAATAGAAAATAGCTAAATACGCAGTGGAAACCAGGTCACCAAACAGACTAACTGAGCAAATTTACCATAAAATTAAGAAAATAAAACAACAATATGCATGGAAATGAGAGTAAAAACAGCGTGGACATACCTCTGGGAAGTAGCTGCAGAAGCTGTGGACGAGGAGCACAGCTGAGAACGTTTGAGTTGACGATCAGAACCAGAGAAACCATGGAAAAAGGCCAGGAACTTTCAAAAATTAACTGGAAACCAACCAAGAACATACAAACCTGAGACAAACACAAAAAGCAGTACAGGCACAAAAAAAACAACAACCCAGAATTACCATAAAGATATTTCCAAACACTGGTCTTCTCATTTGGCTTCCCAGAAGCTTTGCTCTCCACCAACATTGTATGTTGGGGAGCTCCCCCTCAGTTCTGTCTGAGAGGAACCAGAACCAGGAACTCATTTAGTTGAGCTTCTCTCCATCTTGACACTGGTTTCTATCATTGTATAGGATTGTGGAAGTCTCTGTCTTGGTCCTTTTGAGAACTTCTGGCCCCATGTGCTTTATCTTGCAGCTGTGTTGCAATTGCATATATTTTGTTATTCCTTTTCTTCATATTTAGTGTTTGGAGTGTTTGCAGAACAGAAATGGAACAGCAGGAGCTCACTTGCATCCCTTCGTGTTTAAAACAAGGTTGATCCAGTTCCTCTTTGTCTGTCACTCTTATGCCGTTCAGGACTCGGCCCAGAACTTCAAATCCGAATATTTTTCAAACGATTTCCGACTGATTACTTTTGGAACGATTCGTCTGAAGATAGGAAGACACTGTGTAAAGTGGAGATAGCAAATGGTGTGGTACTAATGAGAGAGGAAGTATCAAGTAAAGACGGAAGGAAGCCATTTCTCCCAAAAGCTGAGAGGGAACGCATTCCTCTGCAAATTGTCAGCAGAGTGTGAGATTCCATCAGATAAAATGCTTTTTGACGTCATCCAAATCAACTGTTGATGGCCAAAGGGATAATGTCCGTATCGGGGTGGTAATAGGGCAATAGGGAACTGGCCAAACGTAGCTTTCTTTGTTGAAGCTAGCATTGAGTGGCTCTCTTTGTAATGTCTACAACAGTGATACCAATCAAACATCAGATATGGGACCCAACATCCCTCCGGTTGCCACGGCTTTCTTGCCTCATTTGTAACTCACTCATTTCCACTTTCTCTCCGAAAATCCATTCCGTGCCTCTGAGCAATATGATGTAACAGCTGTGAGGGTTAAGCACCATAACAACACTTTAGGAAAGGATGTTAGCAAAAAACAACAACATTTTCAATGCAATTTAGCCTTATTTATGCAGGACATGCATGGGGGGGGTCTGCTTCCTGAACCCAGACTGGTTAAAGAGAAGTTGTCCAAAGGCTTTGCATCATGAACCAGCTGTGTAACTTACTGAATCTTATTGCACCTTTCTTTGTTTAAAGAATTTAATAAGATTTGAATTATTTCTCAAGTGTAATTTACAGGGAAACAAACTTCAATATAGCAGTAAATTACAGCAGTTTCAAACAGTTTCAAAATACGGTTGGGCAGGAATAAGGTCAATAAGTCTGAACATTTAGGTGCTGTTCATCTTAACAATGTGATCTCTGGATGTAGGATCACTATTTAACTCTTTTCTACAACAGAGATAAAGTCTGCTAGCCATTTTTATAAGTTTTTGGTAAAGTTCTTTCATTTTTCCAATCTAAGGCATGACTATTGATACTACCCATAGTCTACCACAGTACAAGATATAAAGCACAGGTTTAGAGTTAGCTCCAAAGTGTTCTGATTCGGTCCCCGTTAGCTCTTCCCATCAAAGCTAATGGGACCCAGAAATCAGAAGACAGCAACTCAATGTCATGTACAGATGCAGAATCTAAGATATGACAGAGGGATGGTAATGAAAACAAACTAAATATTATTAAAGTTTAATAAATTAAATGCGTTTTAGTCACTTTTACATCATCACCGATCGGGCAATGGAAACATTACAGTGATTTTACATGGACCTATAATCCAGGTTTAATGTAGAACTCCAGAACAAAACAGCTTGATTCTCTGTACACACAATTAGTTCATTAGAATATTTTCTCAAAGATACACACTTAAACGAGAAGCTTGGAAGTGTGTTTCTATAGTTTGATTTTCTATAGAAACTTACTATATAAATACTACATAAACAATGCAAGCCAGACAACTAAGACTTTCAAAGCATGAAAAGTAAAAAGCCAATATTAAAGCAATTTAATTATTTTTCCATGTGGTCACCACTGGCCATGGAGAGCATTTCATACTGCACACAAATATAAGATGACATAACCTCCACAGTAAAGAATACACCAGTAAAATAATGCATGAGGAATATATTCAAAAATGATAAACCTTTAATATAGAATCCAATAAAAATATAGAAGAATAAATTAATATTTGGACATAACTGAATATTAATTATATGCTCATAAATATTTCTATAAACTGACATTTATTGATCAGTAATTATATTTCGACGTCTTTTTAAACTGATCAAACACTGGATGAAAAATAAATGTCAGTTTAACGTCATGTTAAACAGTTAAGGAAATGCCAGCATCACAAACTGCCGGTGGACAGAAACATGTTGTTTATGTCAAAAACCTAAAGTTATTGGCACCTCTCCTCAAGAAATTAAACATTTCCTTTGCTGGAATTTCTGGATTCAAAGACATGACAAGAAGACTAATTGTAAAATTGTCCAAGGATTTTCTGTCCTTTCTATCTCTGCAGAACAACATTATTTAACCTGGACATAATAAGTGTTGATAACATTGCTGCAGTTAATTCAATAAATGACTTCAGAAATATTCTGATAATCCCAGTGGTGAAACTAATAGTGATCAGAGTTGTTCTGCATTATCTCTTAAAGAAATCCACATTGGATGGCCCTACGTCCAGCCTGGTCACCAAAGACAAATAGCACTGTGCCACTAAATCATTCTGTTGTTTGCCGGTTGTTGGTTTGAGGCCAGATACTGACATCTCCTTAACATTCCACTGAAAAATACAAGTAGAACAAAAGCCAGAGAAGGACTAAGCAAAAATAATTCTCATTCAAACACGCTATGAACCTCCAATTACCAATTGTGTCTTCAGAGTGTTGGAATTTATCTCTGTGGACCGAGAGAAAATATAGAAAGATACTACGTTACTTAGCTTTGAGGCCATGTGCTTAATTGGTCATTTATCAAAACAAGGGATCTGATCAGTACATCATGAGCTTGTTAGAAAATCAGCATCTAGAAACAGATTCAGCCCATATCCCATTGGATCCGTATCTATCATCTCTCGTGATAATTCCTCTCCTGGTCTATTAGACCCCTTTTGTCCTACCCAGGTAGAACCTATCCACCGCAATAGTGAAAAACCAATACTGCGGTAAGACGTAGTAACACATGAAAGAAAGGAGGAGACAAGTCCACTATTATGTCCAAATCTTAGTTGGAAACAGTTATACGCCTTTATGGGAGGGACAATCAAAACGTATGGTACTTAGATTGTGTGCGTTACAACACACAACACAACACAACACGCACTATGCTGCTCAGGCCGCGTTACGACCCGGGCAGCATAATCAGAGTACAAAAGCAAATGTCTGTTTTCGAACGATGGGGAGTCACTGAAAACCGTCCGGGAGTCTTTGTTCACATTGGTATGTGAGGTTCTCCGGTCCAGCTGCCCATCACGCCGCCGAGAAGTTTGACCTGATGGAGTCCTCCCGCAGCTGGCGGTGCTTCCCAGAGTCGTGCTCCTCACCGTGAGAGCGGCGCTGAATCGTTATCCTGTAGTTTTTTCTGTAGATCAGGACACAAACAGAAATTAATCTCCATTTCCACCATCAATCTTATGAGTTACATGTCTGCTCTCCTGGTTTATTAGAGAAAACAAGCAAAGGATTATCTTATCTACATTGTTCCCCTCTTCTTCCTCTTTGATCTTCTAAAATGACCATGATTATAATATCCATCCATTCACTTTCCATGTCCACTTATTCCAAATAGAGGGCTGGAGCCTATTCCAGCTATGATTGGCCGAGAGCCAGGGTAGAGCCAGGACAGGAGCCCGGTCCATCACCGGTCAACACAGACAATGAATGAAACACACAACCGCACCGACTCTTTTTTCAGAGCCCCCGTTAATGCCATTATACAGTAAATAAGGTCTGATCTGTTTATTCAAAATCAAACCTGCATTCATGGAATGAAGCAATGTTAAATGCATTAGTCCCTGTACACATACGGAAAAACATTCCTTCTGACCAGCCATTTGAACAAGCTGAAGAGCTGAAAAACACCAAAACTAATAGAAAAAAATTTGGTAAACTCTTTAAAAGACATTGGGGAAGACGCCGGAGATGGATGACAGCTAAAACGCCTGGAAGACGACAAATGTAACGCAACCTAAACCAGTTGTTGAAGTTTTTCACATCTCAAAAAGCTGAAGAGGAATAAACATTCTAAAGGACACAAATCGGAAGAAAATGAAAATGTAAGTCTTAGCTAAAGGAACTCAAGCAAAATGAGTGTAAAGTGTTAACTAGTCTGAGTCAATGTAAAAAAGTCTGAAATGGGATGTAGAATGCTACACTGATCTGTAGAAGAGCAAAGGCTCTGATCTATTTGATACTCATCAAAGCATTCATGTTAACAATGCCATGGACTGGAATGAGCTCAGCCTGCTTCAAGGTAGAGGAAGAAAGGAGTTTGGCACTACAGGTTTCATTCATCAAAGTCTCACCGAGTCATTCCACAGAGCAACTCAGCTTTCACTTTAACGGGGATTTCAACATACAGATGTGACAAACATCTGGTTGCAGTCTGAGCAGATAATGTGATTTTTTAAGGATCATTTTCAAAAGCTGAATCATTTGGTAATGGCGAAAGGTTTCGAGGCCCATTTAAAGTTTGAATGGTGTTCTGCGTGGACAACATGGTTTGTGGGTCCAGAACAAGTAAAGGTTTTTTACGCAGTTGAAGCTTTTCACATTAAATTCCATAAATCTGCAAAAAGACGCACAAAAACCACAAAACAACAGTGTCACAGGGATGCGAATGCTGAGTCAGCATGCACACAACTGTACCTCCAGCATACGTCCAGAATCCAGATTTGTTTCATTGTGAACTGAAATGTTTAAAAAGCGGCGGACTGAGAAGCACAACTCTAGATAAGCGGGATCCTTCAAACAACGGCTGTGGGCTCTCATCCTCTCTCACTCTCTCCGGCAAAGAGCCTATCTCCATGGCAACCACTTCCACAGCTCATCCTGCTGGACCTTCACTCGTGGCGGTTCTGTTTTTCTTTCCTCTTATTCTGTCTCTCATTATTCTAAGCGTTATTATGGTTGGCCAGTTGCTTTATCGTCTCTTTGAACAGTGTCAGTCAGAGAACTATTTGGCTTTTTCAAAAGATTTGGAGTTTGCAGACATAATTAATTCAAATGGGTTTTCTTTGGACGGTGTTTCAATAGCTTCCATTGCTTTTATTCAACGTTAGCATAGACACAGATGATTTGCAGCCTGTGATTAAGGACACACAGGCGGGACACCAGAGACGGTCCATCTATTTCTGCCAAACAAGCACCTCTGCATTGGTGTCCATCTTTTTTTCCCACAGAAACGTTCAAATTCTTCTCCATTCCCCCCACGAACCCATTTGGGAATAAGCGATTCAGAAAATAGATGGATGGATCTCCGAATTTTTAATAACATTACTGTTGACCCACCTGAGTGGTGCCTGCTCCTATGATCTATATTCTATTCTGTCTGAGTCTTAACTCTGTTGAAGCTTCAAAGATAGCTGACTGTGGTTTCAAAATGCAATTTTTGTTGATAAAGATGTCCGCTGACCCTTCAAAGAGAACCAGCGGAGGCTTTCAGGAGCGGCTGGTCTTTGAACTGCTCTTGAGCCATAGGCTTGCCTCTGATCCAGCTGAGGTACTTAATCCCCCACCTTTTGACACGAAGTCTGCACTGATAACTGTGCAACACTGTGCCCTCGGATGCTCAAAGCTATTGTGAGCTCTGCCTGTTTTTAGGCCTGGAGCCCGCCCACAGACTTAGACCAGAGAGGACCATGCATCGGCTGGAGAAGTGACAATGCAAAAGCATAGAACGGTCATAGTGACAATCCTTTCCAGAATGGGAAGCCCAAATGGTCCTGCTGCTGACATGGTTGGTATTCTAGGAGCCCATAGACCAGACATGTTTGCATGCAGGCCTTAGAAACAGCTTTTTGCCTAATCCAGATCCACACTGAACTGAGGGGGAGAAAACAAAGGCTAAATAATGAATCGGATTCCCTTTTCTTCGTGCTCAGAAAGCTGTTTGATGGTGTTTGGACATGGATGACAGTGGATTTGCAAGAGTGCTGCTCAGGGCTTTCTGCAACAGCTTTTCTGCTGAGGCACGTGTCATTGACACCCATCAGCGCTCAGATAAGGTAGAGAGGGGGTCTTCTGCTGATTGTTCCTACAGCTGCCACTTTGAGCCGGCTCTTTGGAGTCTGATGTTAGAGGCACTTGTCTTGGTCTATCGTGATCCAAGAGTGAGATTTGAAGCTTCTATACTTAGCGTCACAAGCACACTGACTGTGAGACACCTTCTTAAGCCCCATTAGGAGACTCCATCCATCCACTTTCGTAACCGCTTATTCTCTAATGGGGTCGCGGGGGGACTGGAGCCTATCCCAGTGGTCAATAAGTAGTCAGAACCCCGAGAAAACCCATGAATACACAGGGAGAAAATGTAATCTCCACACAGAAAAGTCCTGGTTCCCCCGGGATTTGAACCTAGAACCCTCCGGCTATGAGGCGATGGTGCTCCCATTAGGAAAATGTATAGCTTTTTTTAACCTTATGATCTTGTGTTGGATTGAGTTACAAGCTGTGTATATGTCACGTCTGGTGTCTCGTCTTGTCTTGATTACCTATCGTGTACACCTGGGGTTCCCCTCCCTCATGTGTTTAAATAGTCCTCGTTTTCCCTTGTTTTGTGCGTGTGCGTTCTTGTCCGTCTTGTCCGGTTCGTCTTTCGTCACCCCCACGCCAGGTTTGCTTTTGCCACAGTCTTGTTCTTTATTTTTTTACTTTGTCATTGTTTTACCACAGCCTTGTCACAGTTTTGTTAATCTTTATTTTGTTACTTTGCCACAGTCTTGTTTACTATTACTTTGTTACTTTGCTCATAGTTTGCCACAGCCGTGTTTGTGAATCATGTCTGGACTTCCACTTTTTGTTGCAATAAACCTTGTCTTCCCTCATCTCCGCACCTGAGTCCTCCCCTCAAGAACCCACCCTCATGACAGAGGCTCGACCATGGTCGGAGGGTGTGGAGAGGTGAGCGAGCCCTCCTGGCTCGCTCACCGCCATGGCCGGAGGCCCATGGGCTTTCTCGTTAGAGCAGAAGGGGGGGGGGGGGGGGGGGCCCCCCCGCCCGCCCCGCCCCGGTGGGTCCGCTGAGTCCTGAATGGCGAGTGCGTTCTGTCATGTAGGTGGGTTTTGAAGGGAGGACTCAGGTGCGGAGATGACGGAAGACAAGGTTTATTGCAACAAAAAAACACTCATGAGTGAGTGAATGTCCAGACAAAGTACAAATCAAAGCTGTGGAAAACTGTGAGCAAAAACAAAGTAACAAAATAAAGAATAACAAGACTGAGGCAAAACCTTGACTGTGACAAAGTAACAAAATAAAGATGAACAAAACTGTGACCAAGCTGTGGCAAAACTATGACAAAAAGCAAACCTGGCGTGGGGGTGACGAAAGACGAAACGGACAAGACGGACAAGAACGCACTCGCACAAGACAAGGGGAAACGAGGACTATTTAAACACATGAGGGAGGGGAACCCCAGGTGTACACAATAGGCAATCAAGACAAGACGAGACACCAGACGTGAAAGTATATATATATAGAGAGAATGAAGGAAATAAGCAAATGTATGAGCAGAGGATTAATTTCTCTAAAGTCTCAACATGAAAATTGGGATTGGAAGGAAATGTAGCCTATCTGTGTTGGAGGTGTTTGTTGGGGACTGACGTGGGCGTAATCAGGAGAAGAAACAGGAAGCCACTCAGTTTGGGGAGAACAAAATACAACTGTACTGAGCTAAACTCGAAAATAGAGCGCAGCCAAACCAAAATACGAATTAACTTGAAAACAAAATACTCGAAAAAAATCTAAATCAAACCAGAAACAAGAAAGAAGAAATCAGGAACGTGAACTCCAGGGGACCAGACCAGAGTGGACGAGGTACTGACAACACTGGTGACTGGTGAGGATTTGACAAGACCTGAGAGTCGACAAAGAGCTTAGATACAGGGGGGGGGTCGGGTTAGTGGTACTGGAACCCGCACAAGTGAAACAAGTGGAGCAGATGATCACATCAAGAGGGAACTGATGGGTTTTCCAATGGTACCTCCTCAGGACCCAGCTTGGGACGATGATGGATGAATTGATGGATGAACAGGGTTGGTAGTAATGCTGCACTGGTACTCCTTGCTGTATTGGTACTCCAGGCTAACTTTAGCTGTAAATCCTAAGTAACGGGTTAAGTTCTATGGCTGGACTGCAGGCAGCCTGATTTCATGACTTGTACTGAGGGATAGAACTTCCTGGTTTTCAGCTATAAGTTGATAAATGAAATGCAGTTATCACTGAGAGATAATCTTTTGTCCCATAAAACCGCTGGATGTAGAAACTTGGAAGCCTTCAATTTAGAAGCCATGTGTTTAACTCATTGACTGCCAGGCATTTCCAGAACACAGAGTCCCATACTGCCAGAGTTTTTTGAGCATTTTGACAGATTTTTCAAGAGCCACAGAATAGTTTGTGCTAAGACTATGTAAACACCGAACACACCAAAAGAAAGAGTAGACTCTCTTCTTTCATCAGGAAAAGAATTTTGTTTCTACCTTATTCCGTTCTTCCTCTGCTTGCGTCTCACCGCCGACACATTTTCTCATAGCGAACCGTTCCCTTTTTCTTATTTGCCTACAATCTATGCTCATCTCCCATCAAAAGTGGCACTGCCACCTAGAGGGTCAATTTGTTACTACATACTCTGTCTAGAAGCCTGATATTTACGGACAAGCTTTAGCAGATCGTCCCCCAAGCCACTCTCGCTGAAAAACATAAAAGACGTCTATAGACGTCTTTGGCAATCAACGGTTGTATTTGAATTGACGTCTATAAACGTATTTGGCAGCCAATGAGTTAATGAGCGAGCCAGTCAACAGTGCGGTGTTATTATTGTTACCTGAAAAAATAGAATGCTATGAGCATTACAGCTCCAAGAACAGCTCCAACTATGACTCCAGTCAAAGCTGATACGCCTAGCCCACCTATAAGGGAGAGAAATTTCTATTAAAACACACACTCTGTAATAAATGCTAAAGTCCATTTGTAGATATATTTACAGGATTTTTCTGGTAGATCTGTGTGTGCCTCATGTCTGCCTTTCAGTTTGAAGTGTTCTCTGTTGAAAGCCGGCAGCACCTGAAAAGTTCTATTTACACCAAAGTAGTTGGCTACCACCTGTGAGCCAGAACACCGTGTTACAATAAAGCACTTTTATCATCAGAAGACAAACATATTGTAAGGATGTCGATTGGTCATCACTGGGGCTGGAATATTGCTTACCTCATAGGTTCCCTCCTTAGTATTAGTCATGGACATCAAAGAAAAATCTCCATTTCTGTCCCCATTTATATCCATGGACACCTGGCCAGCGATTCCTGTCCACAAACATAAAAAAAAAACTTACTGGAGAGTGGAGGGTAAACTGTATCCTACTTTTGTAAAGAGTCATTTTCACCCTTATTTTGCGAATAAAATCAGAAGGTACCATCATTTTTCATTGTCATGAACATTGTATGTTCTCATAGTTATACATAGACACATCAAATTAGATAGACTGCTTTTTACATTCTATTTCAAAGAGATAATATGTGTAAAATACATCTGTTCAGTTTGTTCAGAGTCGAACAATGCCAGTTGAGATTGAATGTGGGCATAGAACGTTTGAAGGGATTCCCTTTGACGGGTCCAGAGTCCATCACAGGGCCACTCCAGTAAGGCTACCTTGCATATTTTTGAGTGATGGGCAAAGCTGGAGAGAACCCATACACACAGGGAGAACATGCAAACCCACACAGCTGGGATTTGAACCCCCGCCGTGAGGAGATGGTACTAGACACCACACCACCTGCAGTTCCAGTTCCAATGGGCCAGGGTTAAGAACATGTGCGTGTCATTTCTGTTCAGTGTGTCGGACGTAATCTACAGTAGCATGCTGAGGTCAGGGAAAAATTGTACATATCATTTGTGCAGACTTTAGGATGTACCATTTCTGAGGTCACCCTTTCAAAATAGCCTGGCTGCTCCACTAGCACCTGAACAGGTAACTCAGCGGTAGCAACAACTGGGTACGCTCCTCATGAATATTGTGGCTGTCCACCTCATCAACGCAGACTGGGGTTTTCCACCATCTGAACAGAGAGATTCTGAACAGGATGGGATATTCCCTACTGCCATCAGTGGTTCGGGACTGGTGTCCTGGGCCATGCTGATTGTCCTTTCCTCATCACTTTAGTTTTTTTTTAATACTCCATCTGGCCAGAACACTGAGATCCACCAATCAGCTGCTACTGGCCGCTATTCTATTTGATCTCATTCTATTTTATTGCATTGTGTCTATGTATTATAGCTTTTTAGGTTTTACCTTATTTCGTGCAACTGTGATATCGTTACAGCACTTTGGTCAACCCTGGTTGTTTGAAATGTGCTTTATAAATAAAGTTTGAGTTGAGTCGAGTTTATTTTCATCCTTACTGCCATCAGTGGTTCGGGACTGGTGTCCTGGGCCTAGCTGATTGTCCTTTCCTCATCACTTTATTTTCACTTCCTCCTCACTCGGTATCTGATGGACTCAACAACCTGACAGCTGTGCCTGGCAAACACACCAGGAAAGAGCACAATGGTGGAGCTTATCCTGCTTCTGGGAGGTGTGGAGTGACTCGAGACCAGATCATCAGAGTGGGTCCGCTTTCACTGGCCGGACGCTATCACTCTACTAAAGCAGGGGTGGGCAACTCCGGGCCTCGAGAGCCACCGTCCTGCAGGTTTTAGAGGTTTCCCAGCCTCTGCACACCTGATTCAGATCAAACTGATCTCTTCTAAAGGTGCTTCAGCTCTGAACAGGACTGCTGATGTTGTGTTGATGTGAATCAGGTGTGTAGAAGCAGGGAAACCTCTAAAACCTGCAGGACAGTGGCTCTCGAGGCCCGGAGTTGCCCGCCCCTGTACTAAAGGGTCATCTGGCTGAGCACTGAAGCAGCTTGCTGGTACAAGCAGCTGAAAGATGTTCTCCTGAGGTGGCACAGGGCGAGGAGCCTTACCATCCAGAGGGAGCCTGGAGCAGAGCTACTGCTCCTCAACATTAAATCTACTCAGCTAAGGTCTCTGTGGAAAATATATTAGAGATGCCTTTTGGTCACGGGTCTGAGCAACACAGCCAGCTAATGGAGTGATTACACTTCATTTAGTCAATATTTAGTCAATATCCAACTTATATAAAATAAGGTTTGGTCCACAGTATCTGAAGCTTTTGGACAAAATATACACTGAAAATAGAATTATCTGATTTCTGGATAAAATTCTTGTCTGTGTATTTCAGTGGGTACTCCCAAAAAGTTGGTAAGGAAATGGTTAAACAGTTATGGTTTGGTTTTGGTAGGATTGGTATTTTATTTTTACACACTAAAATAAATTTCAGGGTGGATTTCCAGAGCCGAGTTTCTGATTAAACAATCACATCTGTATCAAGGGACTGTGCCTTCAAACCAAAAGTGTCCAGTTGTGTTAGGGTGCTCTTAACACATGCAGGAGGGAGAGCAGGGATGTTTTGGACTATGTGACACATCGCTGCCTCACACCAACAGTGAACAGTGTGAGCGGTGAATGGTACCTTCGAATGTCCTGTTCCACATGCGAGAGGTTATCTCTGTGCCGTTAGACTTGCTGAACCCATTTTTCATGGCATCGTGTAAGGCAATGGCGTACAACAACAGCGCATCATGGAATCCCTCAACAAACATGTTGACCTGACAAAAAAAACAGAAAGAGGGGATGAAGTCACTGTGCCACCATGTTGAAGGCATTTTCCCATGATTCCTATAGCTTCTGAAGAACCCACTGGACATGAAACCTAAAACAAGCATTAGATATATTTGGAACACTGATTTGATGCATCATCACATTTACATCCTGTGCCTTTGGTATCAGAGAACATGGCGGCTTCTGTCAGCTCATGACCTCAAAAGGGTTTCTCCTGAAATTGTACATGGTACTGTTTTGTTTTGTTCTCCAAAAAAGCTCTAAAAAAAGGCTCAAATCAGAAAAATTAAGATGGTATGGAAAATGCTAAATTTAAACAAAAAATTAAATAAAAAGGCTTTTGAAGAGGTATAGAGACAGGACACATGTGCACATGCCTAAATGACTCCATGTGAATTACCATAAATTAAACAGTAAATTAAACCATAAATTCCAGACTATGAGTATTGACTTTCCCCACGCTAAAACACTACGCCTAAACACTACCATGCTAATTTGGGCTTTTAGAGGTCTTATTGCATGTCAGTACACATAGAAAATGCCAAATGAACATTTCCTGACTCATTATGTGGCATGTCTGGTTGTAAGACTCAGTCAGAACTTATGAGCTGTGTTTTATGTGTAATGGACAGAAATACATACAGTGCCACCAAGGCCAGTTCCCTCTAAGGCCTTTGTCATTTCCGTGGAGAAGTGTTCAAACTCTGGCTTGACAGCCCTGAGCAGCGTCACGGTGTTCAGAGAAGCGTAGGCTTCCCTTGCATCATTATCGTATTTATCTCCTCTCTTCCACGTGCCATTGCCTGTAAAAGAAAAAGTATGGAATCTGACCAGTGTAAAAGCAGACAGGAAGTCACTGAATTGTCCAAAAATCAAAGATTGTTGACTGTTTTCAATCAAGAGATTTACTCTAGTCAGTTTGCTTCCAAATTTCAACCACAACCGTATTCTTTAATTTCAATGAATTGCAAAATAGATTTTCTAAACTGCAAAAAACACTAATGTTACCAAAACCAAATGAAATGGAGGAAACTAAGCTGGCCACAAGGAATGTACTTTGTCAGACCTAGGGCTGGACTGTTTTACAGATCATTCAATATGACTATGGCACAATGAAACAGGAACAAACAGGCAAAGCTTATTACCATAATCAAATCAAAATGTTGTATGATATACGTTGAACAAATAAGAACCATATCTAAACCAACATGTGAAGCAATGCTTTTAGATATAGTAAGAAGGTCATTAGGGCTAGGGGTTAGTTTATTGAAGACATTTTCATTTCAAATTGAATCAACAGATCTGATGGCACCCATCACAAAGCCCAAACAGCTAAACGGGTAACGTGAGGTTAACTTACCATAAGAGGAGGAGTTGAACAGCTCAACATTGAAAAAGATATTATTCCCTCTTGTCAGGTGTTGTCTGTGTGCGGCCAGCATGATCTCTCGTATTTTGTCCGCACCGATGCACATGATCACCACTGGAGGACAAGCACACAAACAAACAGCCGTTAGCTGGGACAAACCGGAATACAAATCCTATTCACGAGATCTTTAACATATTCATTTTTATATGAATCTAAAACCATCCTAGAGGTGGTTGATTGCAGTGGTAGAAATTCACTTAAGAAGCTAAAACGGTGGCGTGAGCATGGCTGACCAGTCAGTTTGGCAGATCAGGCTGTCTCAGAGCTGCTGTCATATTGGGTTTTACAGTACAGGAGAATTTTGTTACAGATATTGTAAAACGGGCGGCACAGTGGTGTGGTGGTTAGCACTGTCGCCTCCCAGCAAGAGGGTTCTGGGTTCGAATCCCGGGGGAACCAGGACCTTTCTGGGTGGAGTCTGCATGTTCTCCTGTGTCTGTGGGTTCTCTCCGGGTTCTCCGGCTTCCTCCCACAGTCCAAAAAGCTGCATGTTAGGTTGATTGGAGATTGGGGAAATTGCCCTTAGGAGTGAATGTGAGTGTGAGTATGTCCTGTGTGTGGCCCTGCGATGGACTGGCGGACTGTCCAGGGTGTACCCTGCCTTTCGCCCGTTGACCACTGGGATAGGCTCCAGTTACCCCCGCGACCCCATGAGGGAATAAGCGGTATTGATAATGGATGGATGGATGGATATTGTAAAACGGCATTAGAATTAAGTCGATATGTGATGAAGCAGTGTGAAGACCAAGGACCAGATGTGGTGCTGTAACTGGCTATTTTCTGTTTTTTTGCGGTTTCATCCACTAGATATGTTGCACGGGAGATGACTTGGCCCATTATTCGTAACGTGTTTTGTCAGTTAACACCGTCACCAGTGACCATCCCTAAGAAACGGACCACCAATAAAAGAAGCAGAAGCTATGAGGATGATGCAGTCTTTGGGCCGGTGGAGAGGGAGAGCCTCCTGGGTACAAAGACGTACCCACGTGCATCCAGAGACTGAGCAAAGACGAGTTTCAGTCACCAGAGGACCCCGGACGGGCGATTGTCCACCCAAAGCCTGACCAGAGGCGACACTAGCTCTGCCAGACGTAACATTGAGGAAGGAGTTTGGCGCGCCGGATCAAGAATGGGAGTGAAAAAGGACACTCACTCAGAGGGTGTGAAATGGTTGAAGCAGTAATGAGAGTCTTTTGTCCAGGGAAAGCTGGAGGTTGAGGCGTCGTCCAGGTGAGCTGTCCCGGCTGTGGTGCAGTCGGCCTGACCAACCGGAGGAGGAGGAGGAAGCCATAGACCAAAGGCTGGTGGACCAGCTACTGTGTTAACGTGCGTTAAGGCCATGACTTTAAGTGAGAAGAGGGGGATTGTTGCTACCTTTGTTTTGGTTCTTTTACTCATACCAGGCTCTTGATCTTCTCGGCAGCATGTCCATGTGTCTCAGGCCCAACGGGCACCCATCCTCTTAGACATTTGTGCACAATGGCAACGGGGATGGGCGGAAGGTTCTGGGTTCAAATCCCGGTGGACCCAGGATCTATCTGTGTGGAGTTTGCATGTTCTCCCTGTGTCTGTGGGTTCTCTCCGGGTTCTCCGGCTTCCTCCACAGTCCAAAAACCTACATGTTTGGTTGACTGGAAATTCCAAACTGCCTTTGGGAGTGAATGTAAGTGTGTGTGGTTGCTTGTCCTTGTATGTCTTGTGTGTTGCCCTGCAATAAACTGGCGGACTGTCCAGGGTGTACCCTGCCTCTCGCCCATTGACCACTGGGATAGGCTCCAGTTCTCCCCGCGACCCCATCAGGGAACAAGTGGTAACGATAATGGATGGATGGATGGCAACAGCGATAATTGAGTGGAACAAAAAGCTAGACGGGAATGATTAGACCTAAAGAGGAAATTAACTCTCACTGACAAACATGCGACATGTAGAAAAGACAACACTGTCAAAGTCAAAGTGGTTTGTGGAGAGACGTCCAGCATTACTTCCTTTAACACTGTTTGTGTTCTGGGGGTGTTCTTGCTCCTCTTGTATTTCTAAATATCACTTCCTAAAATTAGTGGGCCATTTTTGGATTATAAATCCTATTGTGAAATATTTTCTCTACTGTAACACTTATCTAAATGTCTCCATGACATTTCTAGATAGTTCATTTGTGTCTAGTTCTCTAGCTTAGCATGGCTATCAGCCCTTTCCTCCCTCTCCTGTGTGTTACCCCAGAGCATCCTTCACGGATTATAGTGCATGGAACAAATTGAATCTATTTGTAGTTTTGGGGGCGATGTTTTTCTGAAATGGAAACTCTGCATCATTGCAAATAACCCAATAGCCAGGCAGAGGTCCCTTTAGCCAGAGCAGAGCCACCAAGCGTAGATAATCCTGTTAGCTGTCCTCCAGCCGGGGTGTGTGACGGTCAGGAAGAGGAGGCTTCTCCCTGCTCTGCCACATTCCCGCTTCATTAAAAAAAAAACCCTGGTACGGTTTTATCTAAAGTTCTATCTGATCGTCTTCTAACGGGCAGCTCCAGAGTAAAAAACATGGCATTAGAGACACCAAATGAAACCATTAAAGTTAGTTTACTGAATATTAGATCTCTCATTTCCAAGTCTCTGTAGTCAATGACCTGATTGGTGATAATAGTGCTGATGTTTTCAGTCATCTTCTCCCTCAAACTATCCAGGAGCCACCGGTGTTTTCCAACTGATTCTTCCTTTGAGTTTCTGTCTGAATTCTCTGATTTTTTCATCACAGTTCGTGCTGAGTGCAAATAAGGCCCCTGTGATGCTCAGCATTCATTGAGATGTTGAAAGTGACATGAACTTTAATTCTACATTAGATTCTGATGTTTTATTGTGGAAAATTCACAGCCCTCACTCTGAATCTCACTCTCATCTTCTGCTGACATGTAGACAGAACAACTAACATTTCTTCACAACCCTGTTCTATCTGACCACTCTGATAACATCTGAGTTCACAATGATGGACCATGAATATAAACTGCACCCAAAAATGAAGAAAGAAAGAAATAATCTGTAGGCTTATTCACACATCACATTCATACATTCATACATCACAGCATTGAGACTTCGACTTCAACTTTCTTTATTGTCGTTGTACAAATCCACACAGGGAATTTGACCATGAAATGCAATTGCTTGGCTACTGGGTACAGCGAGGTCTGCATGTAGGATTGTTAATAAATAGTCTGTGGATAATTACAAAAAATATACACATAAATGTAAGTATAAACATAAAAAAGCTCTTTAAAAGAGTTGTTTTTTTGTGTAAAAAATGTATAGAATTAGGATCTGAATGGAAACAATACGAGTAATATCAGGGAAGTGTAGTAGCAGCATGGAATAAGAACTGGTAAAGAAATATCCATTTATATTGGTTGGAAGGGGGGATTTTTGCACTGAATAAAGTTTTTATTACCCCACAACTTTATAAGCTCCACATGCGCCCTTGACATGTTGTGATTCCTTATTTCAAATGCAGTGGCAGTGAGAAATTCAACTGCTGGAAGCTGTTGAGGAAATACAGTTCACGAAGTTGACACCTTCTCTTGAAATATCTTCCCGTGGCTGAACAAGGTCCCTATTTATTTTGTATCCATTCATCGCAGATATCTGACGTGTGGGGGTCAACGTGTGTTTTTTCAAGCCATCGCACCAAGTATTCTCAAAATGCAGATCTATTCCACCTAAAACGCAGAATTCCCATTCTGCAGAGCAGAGCAAACCAAACCAGGACACAAAATTAGGAGACAATTCATCCCCAAGAAAGGCAATCATAAGATAATCACTGCAAAATAAATAACTATGGTGTGTAAAGCACACATCATACAAAAACAATAATGTTGTAAAACAGCATAAAAGGCCAATCGTAAATAAGTCTATAAGAAGTGCTTCATATGAGGATGAAATGAGAAGATGAAGACCAGCAGAATGGAGCCCAACACAACTTTACCGGGTCCCTAAAATCCCATTGTTTCTGCGTCCATTTAAAGCCAATCCAGTCATCAATCAAACAGATGTGAGGCAGAAATAGCACTAATAAAGAGAGCAAAAATAATAAGGGCTGCTTTCACTGACTTTGGTAAACTTTCCCCTAGGTGTCCCGTTGATTTAAAATACATAAACCAAGAAACGAGCAGCTACACAAACAAGCGTTGCATTTTTTTGAACAGAAACCCCAGGGTCCCCGTTAATAGGGAAGATTCAGAGTCTCGCTGGAACATTCCGCACAGCTCTGTCACTTAAACATACCTCCTGAAATATCCTTTGAGTCAGTGGGACAAACTTCACCTCAGTCCTGCCAGCACTATAGCACCCTTTAATTACGCCGGACACACACTACTGGCCTGTGTTCCGCCGGCCAGCGCTCGCAGCCAGCAATATTTCAAAACTTTTTGGATTTCGCTTTTCGCCGAAGCGCCGATGCTCACTGCACATCGGCTGAAAAAAAAAAAAAGGAGCAGGCGTAAACCTGGAAAGGCGTTACACATGCAAACAGGCAGCGGTGGCTTCTGGTTTCACTGATTCAAAAAAGTCAGGTTGTGCCCAGGAAGAAGATAAAGTAAAGTGGAGGAGGCTCTTTTCAAAGGGATTGTATGCATTTGATGTGGCACAACACTTTGTAGCTATCAGTGTTGCTGGTTAACTGAGTATTGTTCCATTGGGCCTCCTTTATCCACTGAACATTAGTACATTTGTGATAAAATAATTGCTTAGGCTCAATAAGAGACAGAGGGTAAGGAGACTTTTTCTAAACATGAAGAGCAACGGAAACAGTTCATATTGTGCAAAAAATGTTTTATAAAAAACAAAACGTATAGATAAAAAACGATACTCCCTTCAAAAATAATTCAAAATTTAGGAAAATTCAATTGACTGAAATTCAGTAGTAAGCTAAACAAGTATGTTTTCTGTAAATCCTGACATAAGAGAGTATTGTGTCTTCAAATATATGGTGTAAGTTGATGTTTAGACCATTCAGTTATAGACTAATTTGTGCTCAGCAGGTGTAGTTCTGCTTTTCTTTTCACTGCTCCTGTG